TTGATGATTCCAATGTGCTTTTCTGTTTGAAAGGAAGGCTCTGTGACAGGTCGCTGTCTTGATCACACTAATGCTGCACATCAACATATCTCCTCACACTGAAATCAGGAAGCAATTCCCATGCATATTCCTGGGCCTGCCTGACCTGTTACTGCCTAACAAGAAGTTTGCTCCTTGGTAGCATTAAGGAAGACATTGCTGGAGATGAACAGCTTTCTGTGTGCTGCACCTCACTGGCTTTGTGCATGTGAATATGGCTCCTTCCCTAAAACAAGCTGGGTGGAAGTATAAAAACTTCTTTTTTGTGAGAGTCACTGGAAAGGTCTCAGTGCATCACAGATGTCTTTCAAGGAACCCTCCAGCACACAGAGCTTATGTTATGGCAGCAGAAGTCAGGCTGAATCTAGTCTCCAGTGTGTAGAGCATAAGGTAAGCCTTTAGAAAGGAGAAAAACCTGCTGCTTTAAAGCCAAGAGCTATCTCTTAGATCTGCATTCCAGGGCTACCTGCCCTGTGTTGAACAATGTCAAACTATCCAGTTCAAGCCATGGTTTGCTCTAAGCTTTTACTGGGAGGTAAAATCATGTTTGTGGCATACCTTACATACAGCTTAGTGTCTGTGCTTTTAAAGAACTGCAGGCTCTCTGTAGTCTTGCACATCTTGCTTCACAGCCACCCTTTTGAACCTGCTGCTTCCAGCTGCTGTCATCATTTGATGGCTTTTCTACTTTTACTTCGTATCTCTGAGATTCCGAAGAATAATTATATTAGGTCAGACAAAAATCTTGCTTGACTTGATACCCTCCCTGACTCACTAGCAAGAAGCAGGCATACAGTGATGCTTCCCTGTGGATATTCTTCCCCCTTCCAGCTGTCTTAAAACCTTTCCGTGTGAGTGGTTCTGCCTTGCTTCCCTGTGTGGGTTGGCTTTTTTTTTCCCTTTGGTTAACTTGTCTAACTTCTAATCCTCTTGTGACAGCAAGCTCTCCAGTCTGAGCACGTAGCAAACAGCACCCTTTCATTTTCTTGGGCTTAAAGGGTAGATTATATAGACACTACTTATTGTGGTGTCACTGTTAGTACGAGCCTTTCCTGTCACTTCCCAATGTGTATCTGTTGATCTTGCCTTCAAACCTGGGAGGAAGACCTGTTCCTTGATCCTGTTTATTCATTTCTCCCACTCCTTTTAAGGTCTGGTGGTCAGGTTAAAGCCCTGATTAAAAATGACATTTGATTTTTTGATGCTGTAAGGTATGTCCAATTTGCAAGGCACAAGGGGTGTGCCTCATGGCAAAATGTCTTTGCTAAACTCTGTCACAATTGCATGTTCTTGTTGCCAAATGACCTGGCAGGTTGTACCTTCTGATAATGCACTTCCCTGTTTGGGAATGCTGCTGATTTCTCTGGCAGTGCCAGGTGAGTAGAATTCTGAGCCAGCTGGGTGAATACTGAGAGCCCCTCGTGGGATGCAGAGTCTCTCTGGGTGGCTGAGTGTTTTGTTTTGCCAAAGCCAGCAGGAAGGACAGGGCTGGTACTTGCATTGCAAAATGGTGGCATTTGGCTTCCTGTGCCAGCAGGGATGAGTTTTTCCCTTTGGCTCACTGTCAGCTGGTATTGCCTTACCCCTTCCTAAGCCCTGTCACCTGCTGGTGCTTCCCCAGGGAGCCAGGGGCTGTTACCTGCAGAGGCTCTCATCCAAACCAGCATGTTAGCACATGCTGGAATGCTGTTGATGTCAGTGAGACCTGAACATGTTATTAAAGTTAATCACAGCTCAGGGAGTTTGCTGAAGTGTGGCTGAGATGCAGACATTGTCTGCCAGATGCGCTCATGGGAGGCTTGCAAGTCTCCCTGGTGTTGTCACATTTACAAGCTCCTGTCGTGCTGGACATGTGTAATGCATCCTCCTGTGTTTGGGGGAAGGGATGTGAAACAGCCAGCCACTGCCTAAATGTAGCCACATCCATGCTAGAACTGGGCAGCAGTGCTGAAAGCAGGACTGTCAGGGGTATAAATAACTCCTGTACCTTCACAACTTTCCTTACTCACCTTTTGATGGGCAAAATGTGTGTGACCTTTGTTGCTGTTGAACTCTTGCTTATTTTGTTAAAAATTCACTGTATTTTAATGTTCCTTGTGCTTGGAATTGGTTAATGGGCTTTTTGTCTCATGGACTTGCTTCAGACCTTCAACTTAATAGACATAGTATACTGCAAACAGAATATGGAGCTGAAACCCAGATAGAATATTCATTAAATTTTTCACCTACTGCTTTTTTTAATGGTAGTGTGTTTGAGATCAGAGTCTAGCCATAGGTTTGTACTAAAATATTGTTGCTTTTTTATTAAGTGGGATACCAAGAGAATATAAGGTTCAATTTTTTTTTTCAGTTTTCTTTTAGTGTGTTGTGATATATGTGCCAGCTTTTCTTTCTGAGAGTGTCTGAAAACATCCTTCCAACCCTGTTTGACATTGCTGCAGAACAAAATCCCAAGTGGCCTGTGTTCAAATAGTAATATTTGGGTTTTTTAAGCTAGTGGCTTGCTAGTGAATAGTTAAATTGATGGTAAAATATCAGGGCCCTCTAAGTCCATGCTTCCCATCATGTGTGGAAAGCAGACATCAGAAGCTGCAGTATCTGGAAGTGGATTCCTTTAGAGACCTCCTGGCTTAATCTGCTCCAGCAATTCCACTCTGTGCTATCAAAGCCTGGCATTAGATTTCCCTTAAGCACTTGGGTGTTTCTCTGCTTTCCCCACAAAATCACACAGTGCTGGCTCCTAAGCTAGTACTAACTTATGTGGAAAAATATTAACTTTCATGCTCCTCATGTGTGAAATTGAAAAGAAATTAGCAAAGACATAGCTGGAAGAGGGAAAATTGCTGTAAGTGGGAAAGCAAGCATTCTATTCTGCCTAGCTGCTCATTCACAGATCTTTCAGGAAGAATTTTTTTTTCATATTGACCACATTGTGGATTGCCATTCATTTTGGAATGTGTTTTAATGTTATAATTAAATGCTGAGAAAGGCTTGAAGTAAATGGAGCACTTGGGCAGCTTTATTTCTGTAAATAGGGCGCTGGTACAGAGGCAGTTTAAAATCTCAGGTTGTTTCACCATCCTGCCCATATCTTGCCTGCATGCAATACTTGTGCTGTGTGAAGTGTCTGAGGTCACATTCACTGTTGGATCTGCCTTAGAGAATGCCAAAAGCCAAGAGGAGCAGTTCTGCTGTTTCCTGGGAACACAAGTGTCTTGTGCCATTCCTGTTTCAGGGAGGGAGCTCTCAGCATGAGTGGTAGATAAATGTTAGCAGCATGGCTGGGATGCTGTGACTGTGGGTGAAGCTGGCTCTCTAGGTGGAGATGATCCCTTCTGCTCACTATTAATTGCTGTTCTCTTGAAAGTCAATTAAACCTTGTGTTTTGTAGTCCATGGACTAAGATAAGCTTCCAGCTACTCCTTGTTCATGCATTATCCACAGTAGCTGCTTAAAAATAATGAAAGCTCACTTTCTTTTGAGGCCTTGATAGAGCTACATCTGTCCATAGCTGCCTTACTCAAAGAGAAGTCCCTGAGTTTGATGCCATCACAGTGTGTAGGAGAGGAGAGCAACACAAATTCAGCAGCCATGGTTTCAGTCCAAGTGCCAGGAGACCTGTGGTTTGATTTATTTGCTGTTTTGCAGATTGCCTGGGACAGATTTTCTGGTGCTGGTTTCAAAGTACTGACTTTAGACTGTCCCAGGTAGTTCAGTTTAGGAGGAGGTAGAGAACTGGTGCTGGGCACCTGAGCCTCCCACACAACCAGGAAAGAGGGTGCTTTAATGTTCCTGGGCTTTGTTAGGGACTGCCTGGGACTAGCTGGAAGAGCCCAAACATGAGGATTTGTGAATGCTTCTTTCTTCTTAAAGTTGAGGTGTTGGATTTAAGTCTACCCATGGGGGCATTTGTCTGCTCAGGATTTACCCTCCCTTTAAAGTAAGTCCTGAGAAGAGGGGAGTGAGAGAAGATGGAAAATAGCATCCTCCATCTTTTGTGTTGTAACAAGAACATAAGGAGTAAGGAGTGTGTTATTTGTGGCCAGGAAGAGGACAGCCAAGAGGAAGCTTCATTTTGTTGCCTGGCAATTAGCACAGACACTTGAAAAAAGAAAACCTGCCTTCCCATCCTGTTCTTTTTTATCCAATTACTGCAGAATGTAAAATTAATAAATTCTCTTGGGAGGAGAGACCAGATTTGGGTCTTTCTTCTTTGAACTAGCTGTCCTACCTGCTGGGGAAGAGTGAAAGTTGTGAATCTGCTTTCTCTCAGGGTAGAGTTGAATTTAGCATCATCCTTGCTTTGTGTGACTCCTGTACAGTGTGGGCTGGTTCAGAGGGTGGGTGCTGCTGCTGTTTCCACTTGTTCTTGCTCCCATTTTGTATGGTGATCCCAGTGCTGCCTGGATGGGTTACATTGCTGAGTCAGGGACAGTTTGTGTCTGTGACCTGGCTTTGGCTGCAGTGTGGTTCAGCTGGGGAGGGGCAGGACACAGCTGCCAGGGTGCCTCAGCATGGCAGGTGCCACTCAGCACTGAGTGCACACTGGAAGCTGTGGCAGAGCCATTTGTGATAATGGTTAAGGAGAAACCTTTGGTGTAAGTCTAAGCTGGTGGGTTTGGGTTCTTTGGCAGTGGCTGGAGAGATGTCATCCTCTCTCTCCTCCTGGGATTGGGAGTGCCTGTCTGCCTTGGGTGGCAGATCATTTTTTCAACCTAGCCACAACTCTGACACAGTTACATCAGGCAGGAAGGAGTTCTTGCCACTGGCTGGAACAAAGATGTCACTGGAGACAGAGGGTGTGAAGTCTCAGAGTCACTTGCCCCTCAACAAAGCCTCCTGCAGATCTGTTAATGAACATCCCCAAGCATTTCCTGGCAGTCATTCCTAGCACACAGCAGCAGTGTTGGCTGTCAAGGGTGACCTCATTAACATAAGGCTTTGCTCTACTTTCATTCCAGGTCGTCAGAGCTGCTGAAGAAGCTGCTTCCACCCTGGCCAGCTCCATCCACCCCGAGCAGTGCATCAAGGTGCTCTGCCCCATCATTCAGACTGCAGACTATCCAATTAACTTGGCTGCCATCAAAATGCAAACAAAAGTCATCGAGAGGATTTCCAAGGAGTCGTTGCATCAGCTCCTACCTGATATCATTCCTGGGTTGTTACAGGTACAGAATCCCATGTCACTGCTCCTGAGCACAAGTCACCATTAATTTGTGACATTTCTGCCACAAGGGAGGGAGAATGATGGACCCTATGGGGCCAGATTTTAGTAAATTAAGCTATTTAATTTTTTTGTCAAATAAAATTTTTATATATGAATTTTTCATCCTTTTAATGTTAAGGAAAGGAAAATTCAGTTTCTTGCATGGATATTCCACAATTGCATGCCTTTTCCTGACTCCCAAATAAGCCAGTAGCAGCCATGAAATAAATTTGAGTATAGAAGTTAGCCACATTTTACACTGTCTCTGTACATCTTGTAGTCCCCTTTAATTCCCCTTTCGTTCTGCTGAGCTGTTCTGTGCTTTGATGGTGCTCTTTGCACTTGAATTTGAATCCCAGCAGGCAGGTTGCTCCTTTCCTCTTTTCTCTCTGAAATTAGGACCAAGCTGCTTGCTGACTTTATTCAGTCTCTTTCATAACTCTCTCGGGCTGGGTGGGGAGCTGTGTTTTTGCCAGTGCCAAGGCTTAGTTGGACACTATGGATTTAGCTTTGAGCACTGGCTGTAGCAGTGCTGTCTTTGGTCCCCTGCACAAGCAGCTGGCAGTGCTGGGATGGGGCTGCAAACAAGAAGAAAATATGTGAAGTAGCAGTGAGGGAGGAGAGAAAATGTGTGTGTTTACTGGGGAGAGACTGTGACAGGAACAGATCAGTCACAGTGAAAGGAGGAGATGTGTTTAGGTGGGTAAGAATTCCATGAAGAACTGGGATAAGGAGGCCTCCTCATTGTGAGCTTAAAATGTTGGAAGGACAAGAGCAAAGTCTGAAATTCCCCTTATGCATCCTGGCATTCTTCCCAACTTTGTAGTGTCAGTTCTTGCAATTCTTAAATCTCAGCTTCTGGGAATTGGACAATTCTGTATTCATCTAAACTTTTGTTGTAAAATAGTTTTAGCCATCATTGTTGGAGACAACAATCTGAACAGCGAAGCTTTGATGCACTGGAAAAATCTGAGAGCAGCATGCCTTTAAAAAGGCAGCTTTATTTGTCCTCTTTAATTACTTTAAATGGTTCTTGTTTCAGAGCAGAGTCTGCCTGAGGTATTTCCTTACCTTAGAAACTCAGTGATAGAAGGAATTTACTCCTTACACTTGGGAAGTATTTTGGGATGCTGGCAGAAGGACTGTGTGTGGAGAGAATCACCTTTGTGCTTGTTCACCATGCTGAGGGTCCTGGCAGAGGGGTGAGGAGGCAAGGAGGGTCAGCAGCAGTGTGGGCACAAGTGTGCAGCTCAACAGCCTGGAGCAGGCTCTCCAGGGACAGGGGGCACCCCATGGAAGAGCAGGGCTTGGCAGGGGAGAGCTGTGGTGCTTGTCCTGGTGCTGATGAGGAGGCTCAGCCTTTTCTCCACCTTGATGCTCAATGGCTTGGAGTTCCTCTGAGCTCACCAAGGTCTCCTGCTTTCCCAGCTCAGTGCTCTGTGGGATTGCAGACTGTTGTTTTGGGCTGTGCTTGGGCCCTGCAGCTGGGACAGCCCCAGCTGTGCTGCATCCCTCCTCTGGCTTTCCTGGCAGAGGTCACCCTGCAGCCAGAGGAGCTGGCATCCTGCAGGCTGGAGTGGTGTCTGCCTTTCTCATGGGTGGGATGGCTGCTGAGTGATGCATCTCTGCCTGAGCTTGGCACTGCTGTCCATAGCTGCTGAGTGACCTGCTGGCTAGTGTGAGCTCTGCCCAAGCTGCCAGAGATCAGCACAGGGGTCTTTGTGCATGTTCTTTCCTGTGGTATTTCTTCTGTGATAGGTAAGCAGCCCTCCAAAGAATCCTGACTGTTCAGGACAGTTCATGGTTATCTGAACTGGACACAGAAATGTGTGTATCTGATGGACTCCTGAGCTTGTGTTAGGAAACCATGTGTTGTTAGCTAATGCTATAAATAACTAGATATTAATAACTTACAACATGACAGTAATAAGTAATATCAGAAGGAACAGAAAGGGTGTTTGCATTCTCTTGCTCTTTGAGTATTCAGGTTGCAGACTGTTATGTTAAGCAGAGGTTTTTAAATTGATCTCTTAGGTCAGCCACATTTGCAAAATGCACATCAGCTCTGCAGTGTATTGCTCAGGAAGGGTGTTGGGGAGTGCTGTTTGTCTTCTGACCTTTTCCTCTCATTTCCAGGGTTATGATAACACGGAGAGCAGTGTCAGAAAAGCCAGTGTATTTTGCCTAGTGGCTATTTATTCAGTAATTGGAGAAGAACTGAAACCTCATCTCGCACAACTCACAGGAAGCAAGGTACATGAGTAATGTGTCTCTGGTGTTTTGGTACTGCAAGCCATTCTGCTGGCTGTTACTAGCAGCAAGACCAGTGGCTTCACTGTAGCTCTGGGTCAGGTTCCCTGAACTCTGTTAAATCCTCTCTCACCCTGACAAATGCCACAGGAGCAGCACTGCACCTGCTCAGCAGTGTGAGCATTTGAAATCCCACTTAGAAAATTTTAATGGTGTTTGGAGATTGGTTCTGTGATACATTTGATCTTGTGTAACTGCAGGCTGCCTCTGAGCAGGTCCTTCTCCAGCCACATTTGTCTTCCTCCTTTGACTTTACATCCAGAAGTGATTGTGGAGTGAGCTGGCTCAGCTGGCTGCTCTGGCTGAAAACCAGATCTGCAATACAAATTAAATAGCTTTTAGTCTGCTCTGTGGCCACACAGGCATCCTCATGCAGAGAGTGATGGAAATGCATGGGGATGGTGGGAGAGCAGGTCCTCTCAGCAGCAAATTGTGAGATGCTAGCAGCTGGTAGAGATGCAGGTAAAGCCTCTTAACAACAGGGCACGTGTGTCCCTTTCCTTCTGGGACAACAGCAAGCTCAAATGACCCTTCAAAGGAATTTGTACCCTGGAGTCAGACTAGCTGCAAAACTCAAATTCTGACCTGATGCTGCAAGTGAAACCAAGCCCTTAATTCAACTCCATCCTTCAGACAAGAATTTTGTGTTAGTGTTTGATTGCTTTTCAGAGCTCTCAACAAGCCACCACAAATTTTTTCTGCTGTTTTAAGTCTTCATACCCAAGATTTCTATGCAATTTTAACATGAATTCTGCAGATTTTGTTTCTGAAACAAATCTGTGCACAGAAATAGCTACTTAGTTCAGAGGACTTAATTCTGTCATTTTGAAGTCATAATTTCTTTCATGGGTAAGGAAGTGTGGTGTAGACCAAAACAATCTGAGACTAAAAACACTTGGATTTTATTTCTGTCTTGTCACTAAAAAAATTGCAATTGTGCCTTCAAATTGCTCTGCAAAGAGACAGCTATGTGTGCTGAGGTTTATATTTGAGATGTTGGGAAATCCCCCTATAAAATATTGTAGAGGCTTTATTATTCCAGTATCCTAGGTGCCACAAACACAGTCCACCACATCAGTAACTATAAACATGTAAGTAATTCTTCTGGGTTTATGCAGACTGCCTGCCTGTTTAAAGTTAAATGGTAACATGAGTCATTACAGGATCTGGAGTTTAGGTGGCAAAAGAAAACAAATCCGTGCAAGGGAAGTATATAGTCATAACAACTGCAATTGCACTAGATGTACCACATTAGTGAAGATATAATGTCATTGAAAAAGAACATTTTATACAACAGGGAAGGTTCAGGGTGTTTCCTAGGAGGGAGACCCTTGGCTCTTGGATCACCAGTGTGCCTGCAGCCCTACTGACCTCTGTGGGGATCCTGCTTGGCCTGGCCTGGCTGCAGGATTGAGGGCTGTGAACTGATGGCTGCTGAAGTGAAAATACAAGAAGAGGCTTTTCTAAATCCCATTAAGTCTGTCTGTAACTTCAGTGGGACTGGGCATAGCCTCTGGTCTCTGTTCTGAAATATGGTCAGTTTTCTTGCTTTTCCTCCAGAATGCCCAATGTCAGCTCACCCCAAAATGAGCTCACTATGAAATGAGAGTTTTTACATTGGCAGTCAGCTTTTTTCCCCTCTGTTTTTTCCTGGCATCTTCTCCTGATGTTTCTTTCTTTCTTTCAGATGAAGCTACTAAACTTGTATATAAAGAGGGCACAGACCACCAACAGCAACAGCAGCTCCTCTTCAGATGTTTCAACGCACAGTTAATGGAGATGTGTGGACATGTGTGTAGACTTAGAAGCAAACAACGGTGCCTCTCAGACCTTTCTGCTACTCTTCGCTGGCGCGCTCCATCAGCTCAAGGAGGCCATGCAGATATTTATTGCAATCAGTATTTTAGTCCCTTCAAAGCTTTTATGTAGAATCTTACTGGTATTGAATGTAAAGGAAGCAAGGTCTGTGTCGCAGTCTTCATTAAAAGTGAACATCAGAAAGCCATACTTAAACATATTTGTATAGCCTGCTGAAATCTCAGAAATATGTTTAGGTTAGCATTCTAACACTGAGTCCAAGAACCTGGGCACGTGTAAAAGTCAAACAAATCTTGTGGGTTTAGTTCATACCCAGTTTTGGTTCCTGTGTGTTAATTACCTGCTCTCTCCCCTCAGCCATTCTGGCTGGGTCCTTCTCTTCTTTCAAGTCTTGTGTTCCTGTTCTGTACTCCCTGTTGCAGCTTAGCTGACTTACAGGGCCCTCCATGGGGAGATCTTTGCAGGTATGGCTGTGATTCCAGCCTCAGATGCTTTAATACTGAGAGATACCAAGTGAGTAATGAAAGTAGGTTCTTTTTAAACATCTGAGTTTTGTACATAGTTCTGACAGACCCCAGATGAGCTGATCTCTCTCTAACTGCTATCCAGCCAGCTGTGCTGTGCATAACAGCTGGGCTCTTGCTCTTTTCATTGACTTTGTAAATACTTCTCCCCTCTCAACCCATTTGGCTCTTTCATATGTTCAAAAGACTCTCCGGGTTACCTGTTACTCCCCAAAGGGAACCTGAGACCCAGTTCTGGGACTGATTCTGCAAATAGGATAGTGGAGTTGGGTGGGTGGGATTGGGTTAGGCTCTGAGTGTGTCAGTGGGTGGGCAGTGGGAGCTGGCAGAGCTGTACTGCAGTGCCAGCTGTTTTCCTTGAAATCTGTAGCATCAAAGGGCTGATCTGCTGCTCTGACTGACCCACTGATGCTGGATGGCTTTGTCCCCACGGCTCCTTTGCACTTTGGGCAAAATGTTCATCCCAGAGGACAGAAAGGGTGTCTGAATCTGAACAGAAATACCACATGGAAGCACCTCTGAGCCAGCTGGGACAGTGCTGGTTGCCTGCCACAGCCCCTCCTGTTCCTGAGGACCCTGCAGTGCTGCTAACTGCCCTTAGAAGCCTCCTTTGTGCCATCTTCATGCACAGGCTTGCTGAGTGCTCTGCATTTCAGAAGAGTGGGGCACTGCTGGCAGCAGGGTGCTCTGGGTGTGGTATTTGCAGCCTGATGACACAGACCAGGTCAGAGGCAAACCAGCAGCAATGAAATACCCACAGCACTGCCCTTCCCTGAACAGAGACCCTTCTTCCTGCACAGGGGGAGCTCCCCCTGGCCTGCCTGTAACCAGGGAAGGCAGGAGGTTGCTAATTAACGTGCTGGGTTTGGCCCTGGGCTGGATCCTGGCTGCTGGGCATGCCCACCCCAAACCTGTCATGGATCCCAGCTGGGGCTTTGCCTCCATGCCAGTGATGCAAGAGGGTGATGGACTTGCAGCTCATGGCTGCAGCTGTGGTGATGGATGTGTGTTCCCTGACTGCTCTCAGTGCCCTGGAGTCTCTCCAGCTTCCTCCACCTCCCCTTTAGGAGCTGAAGGGACACCTTGGGAGCGCACTGAGAACATGAGACTCCATTACTGCAGCAGGGGAGGGTAAAGCCCCTTCCATCAATTATCCCTCTTTGTTTCAACCCCATCCTTGAGGAGCTGACACTTGGTGCCAGCTTCTCTCCTAATTCTCTTCTCAGGAGGGATTGGGGCTGGTGGGGGACTGTGTGTCACTGGGCTGCAAAGCTTGTTGGTCCCTTTCCCTGCTTACCTGAGAGCAGGGGAGGTGACCTGCTCCTGCTACATATGTGTGAGGCTTTTGCTGGCTGCAGGGCTAATTCCCTCATCTTTCCCAGCCAGTAATGCTATGGCTGGAGAAACCATGTGCTTTCCTGGGGTGGGGGATTCCCCCAGGGTCTTTCTGCAGGCTCAGAAAAGCCATCCTCACTAAAGGGGGGGAATTGGCTGCTCCATGGCTCGTGTCTGCCTTTCTGTGGACCATTTCTTTTCCACATCTTTCTGTGTGCTTGTTAGAATGCTCTTTTTTAATTTTTTTGAATGCTTCAAATTTGATTTTAACACAAATTTATTTTTCCTTTTGAGGAAATACTCAGTTGACTTGTTGGCAGCAGTTAAGCTGTCTTGTTTGCATTTTTAGTAGTGGGCTAGGTTTTTTTGGGGGGGGTGTTGGTTTTTTGTTTTGGGTTTTTTTTTTTTCTTAATTATGCTCTTAACTGCTTAGTATTTATGCCTCTCTTTCTCCCCATCTCAGCTCAGCATCTTCTGTTCCAGGTCTGGGGTTCAGAAGGTCAGCATAGGTGACCAGGTGGTGTTAGTCCCTCCCAGCTGTGATGGAGCTTGGTCTATCATCATTTGCTGTCGGTTGGTTTTGATTTTTTTTTTCCTTTCCATTGAATGGCACACTGTAGCAAATCTCCAGGAATCGAATTCCTTCTGCAATGATTTTAAATGCTTTATAAAACACTGTTGGTATGCACTGAGAGTGAGCACACTGCACGTCCCTGACCCCGCCGTCGGGGTCTGAGCTCGTCCTTGCGGCCAGCCCGCGCTTCCCTGGCCCTGCGGGGGGATCAGGCCTTGCTTCTGAATCAGATTCAGTTCTCTTTGTCAGCAGATGCTCATCCATGTGCTACTTGATTTCATGGTATGGGTGGAGCACTGTCCATCCTGGGAGGACTCCAGGGTGTGTTCTGCCTGCCCACAGTAGGAGCATTCTGCTGGGGTATTTATGAATCATCGCCGACAATGTACATAGTAGGGTTCTTTAGGATGTTGAACATGACCCAGTTTTTATTTTGTGTTTCCTTTGAAGTACTCAAAGGGCTAGCTCTGAATGTCACCTCTCTGATCTGCAGTTTTGACTTCAACAAGCTGTACAATCATCTTGTTTTCTCTTCAGCAAGCATAAAGGTCTCTCTGGCTACACATCACAGTGTCCACGCACGCTTGCAGAGGAAGGCCTGCATGCTGCAGTGCCTCACTGCTCCGGTGAAGCTTCTGTTCACCTTCTCCTGGCAGTAGCCACCTACTGCAGCTGCCTTTTTTTTTCTTGCTGCCCATTATGCAGGGCTTCAACTTTTCGTACCTTTAAAAAAAAGGAAAAAAAAAAGAAAAAAAGTGTATTTTCTTTGCCCACCATGCTTTAAAAATCTGAATGGGAGAAAACTCTCAGCAGACAGCAGCTCGTGGCTGCAAGGTTGCCGAAATCTCAGATGTGGGTGTTTTTTCTGCCATTGGCTGCACCAGTGCTCCGTGGGCATGGGCAAATCCCGGCTCCATCTGCCCCACAGGTCTACGTACTGTAGTTCTCATGTAGTTCAGAAATACCAAGGCATGTGGCTTTCTTAAGGTACACTATGTGTGCTTGCCTGGATTACAATACAATACAAGACTGTCTTTTTAATTGCTTATTACTAGCTTACCAATAACCTGTATAAGTAATGTAACTTGCATCTTTGTCATCAGAACCTTTTCTCCCCACCCCTTTATTTATCAAGCATAATATTACATATTAAGGGACAGAAAAATAGACCTTTGTAGTACACAGCAGGACGTTGCTAACAATGTTTTAAATGGGAAGTTAAAAATGCTCTGAAAAATGCCAGCCATGAGAAATGACTTTGTTGGCACCGTGTTCATGCGCATGTATTTTTTTCTATTTTTTCCGCTTTTGTCATGTTACATCCATATCTGTATTTATATCTTATTTGTTTCACTTTTGAGTGTATCATGGCAATTGTACAGATGTTTTTTGTTAACATTTACGTGATAGAATTTGCTAAAAAAAAAGTTAAAATAAAACCTTTTGAGTTTGCCCTAGAGTAAGTGGAAGATGGGTTTCTTCTTGGGGGAGAAACATCAAAGTAATTTCAAAGTAATTCACTGTCCAACACAGCTCCTTATTGCAACCTGTGCTTGTAGATGACTTGGTCTTATTTGACACTACTGTGTTTGAAAGCTGATGCTTGTGCAAAGTCATGTAACTCAAGGAGGAAGGGCTTCAGAGATACCTGTATTCTGAAGCTTGTTGAGAGAATTACAGAGGTTTTAAATACATGGCTGTAGAAATTTGGGTGATGAAGCATTTGGGCAAATGAAGAAATGCTGGGACACTGCACAGGTCTGTGTGCCTGGTACCAAATGACAAAGAACTTGAATTTGAATTGTCTGGGCAGCCTGACCACTCAAGCACTTGTGTGTTTTCCTGTGGGAATAGTAACTCATCACAATTTAAAAACCTGTAGAGAAGCTGTGCTCTGCACTCAGGAAATTAGTTCCCTAAGGTATGAATGATTTTTACCTTGATGGTGAAGGCAAAAGCTCCTCAAACACCTTGTGCTGGGAGCAAGGAAGCCAGGAGTGCACAAGAGGTTCAGATTTTGTAGAGGAGGCTTTTGGTTTGAATATTCCTAGACAGAAGAGTATATGGAGAGTGTCAGAGAGCATGAACAGCAGCACTGGCACTCGTCACTGTCACCAAGCCCTGCCCCATGCCAGCCCAGGGACCCTTCTGCACCGAGATTCAGGGGCTGGGCTGGGAGCAAGGGGCAGTGCTGGCTCTCCCTGCTGCAGATCTTGCTCCTGTGGTGACAGGGTCTGTTTTGACTCTGCTATGTGCCAGAACAGTAGGAGGGAAGGTCCATCCTTGCCCAGTGACCCTGGCTTCTTCCCAGAGCACTCTCTGTGTGGTTATGCAGAGAGAAAATTAGAGGGGCTGAATCCCAGCTAGAACTTAATCTGGCTGCTGCTGTAAAAGACAGTAAGCAATTAACAGCCAGAGGGGGAATCCCCATCCTTTATTGGATGCACAGGAAACGTAGTGACAAAGGATGAGGGAAATGCATGAAGCAGATCCTTCTGAGTGCCATCACAGGGCATGTACAGGACAGTCAGGGGACCAGAGCCAGCCAACACTGGTTTGTGAAAGGCAATGTTTGACTGACCTGATCTCCTTCTGTGACAGGGTGACCCACTGAGTGGGTGTGGGGAGTGCTTTGGATGTTTTCTACCTGGATTGCAGTAAAGTCTTTGACACCATTTCCCACAGCACCTCCTGGAGACACTGGCTGCTCTCTTTGCTGGGTTAAAACTGTCTGGATGGTGCTGAAGGGAGTCAAACCCAGTTGGCAGCTGGTCACCAGTGGTGTTCCTGAGAAAACTCAGTGTGGGGGGCACTGCTGTTTCATGTCTCTCTCAATGATCCAAATGAAGGGATCAAATGCACCCTCAGTTTACAGACAGTGCCCAGCTGGGCAGGAGTGTTGCTGCTGGATGGCAGGAAGGCTCTGCACATGGATCTGGCAGGCTGGATCAATGGTCTGAGGACAATTCCATGAGGTTCAATAAGGTGAGGTGTCAAATGCAGCCCTTGGATCACAAACCCCAGGCAGTGCCTCAGGCTGGGCAGAGTGGCTGGAAGGGTCTCCAGCAGAGAAGGACCCAGGGATGCTGTCAGCAGTGACTGAACACGAGCCAGCTGTGCCCAGGTGGCCAAGGAGCCCAGTGGCACCGGGCCTGGACCAGCAGTGGTGTGGCCAGCAGGGCTGGACAGGGACTGTCCCTCTGTGCTGGGCACTGGTGAGGCTGCACCTCAAATCTGGGTTTGGGCCCCGCCCTGCAGGAAGGACATGGGGGGGCTGAAAGGGAGCTGTGGAAGGGTGTGAGCATAAATACTACAAGGAGTGGCTGAGGAAGCTGGGGGTGCTTGCTTCGGAGAAAAAGGCTCAGGGGACACCTTATAGGTCTCTACAACCAGCTGAAAGAGGCTGTAGAGAGGTGTTCTCCCAAGTAACAAATATTAGGAAAAGGGCCTCAGGTTTCACCAGGAGGTTTAGATTAGATAGTAGGAAAGAAATTTATGGAAAAGGCTTGTCAGGCATTGAACAGGCTGCCCAGGGAAGTGGCTGAGTCACCATCTGTGGAGGTATTTAGAAGATGTAGATGTTTAACTTATGACATGGTTTTATGGTGGACTTGTCAGTGCTGAGTTAACAGCTGGGCTTGGTGACATCAGGGGACTTTTCCAACCTAAATGATTCTATGGATTTTCATGTGTTCTTTGGGATTAGACAGAAGAGTTTGTTTACTGAACCACCTGAAGATATCTGTGCCTTG